AGGGGCCGAGAGTTCGAGTGCCGGCTTCTAGAAGCTTAGTTCTTCGTTCCGAGACTAGATGGCGCTGTCGGTTGAAAGATTAGTGATGTCATTTTCTGGAAAGCTCCCCTCGCTCTCGTCCCTGACACTAGATGGCGCTAGTGCCGGATACATGACGTCAACTTATTCACGCAACAATATTTACGAATTTTATCGCGTTTAATCTAATAATATTGCGCTTTGGATATTGCGACCAAATAGAAATAGAAAGTTTTTTATTTAATATAGATAATAAATAATACTTATTGAAATTCACTCTTATGTTTATTTCACCACAGGTCCGGAAAATACCTCTGTCATGAGAAGATCCAGGAAGAAACCCAGCGTGACCTTTTTTGAAAAAAAAGTATAGTTTACAGTCATTAAAGTTACGTAACAAATTAGAAATAGCTTGGTTGTGATCTCTTTATTCCCAAGGATTATTATCATCCAAAGACTCCTTAATATTATAATAAGCGTTTTTTACAAATTTTGTTTAATAAAGATTTTAAACTTGGAGAAAGTGAGATTTTTTGCACAATGTGCACAACGTAACTTCAAAATAATTTTAGTAATATGTTATGGGATTGGTCATTTTTTGGTTATCAGAGTTGCGGGTAACATACATCCCACAGCTCAGAAAAGGCTATCATTTCCAAAAAGTTTTTAGGGCAAGGAAGTGTCTGACGCGCAGTTCCATGCATGTTGACGGACTTCACATGTCTTACATATATTTTTTATTCGTGTTTTGTTACTCATTCACTGCTGAGCACGTGATAAGTCAGCGCTAAAATTTCTATTAGCAATTAATTTGGTGCTGGCTGGGATCGAAACCAGGTTGCTCACGAACTGTGAAACTTACGGCGATCGCTTTGCCCCTAACCAACCACGGCCCCTTTTAAAACTTAAAGGAAATAAGATATTAAGCCGTATTAGGTTTATTAGCTCACTATTTTACTGGCAATTTTATAATTATCATTTTTCACAAAAAGTATACAATTTTATACAGACACCTGCATATTATATTCTTTGTGTCAATAGATTGAGCTAATATAGACTATATATTTTTACCTAGCTTAGTAAAATATTAGTTCATTTCACACGAGTGCGAAAGCTTTTTACGATACGTAAGGTCTTTATTATCTTAATTCAAATAGAAGTGAATTTTAACTCCTTGAAAGAGAGATGAAGATATAACATCATCTTTTGAAATTTTTCTGACAATTACTAATAGTCGCCTTCATCTCTATCAGCTTATATTACTGTAAACGTTTTGAATTAATTAAAGTATAATTTAGCGATATTGAATCTGCTCATTAACTTATTTAAGGAAGTACTAAAAAAAACGAAGTCAAGGTTGCTTACCAAGCTAAGGAGAGGGCTATGCTTGGGGCGACATGATAGAATTGGAAACGAGGATATCCTCAGTAGAATTAGATTAACCGACATAGCCCAACGGATTACTAAGCTGAAGTGGCAATGGGCTGGCCATATAGCTTGAAGAACCTACAACCGATGGGGAAGATAGGTTCTAGAGTGGCAAATTTGTACCAATAAACGAAATGTAGGATGGCTCCCCCCATCACTAGATAGAATGACAACCTGGTAAAATATGCAGTAATTCTATGGATGCCGGTGGCTTAGGACAGTGCTTCGTGGTATGTCACAATGCACGGTCCTGAGCAACCTGTGCCACTAAGTTATGTCTTGGGGGAGGCCTATGTTCAGCTATTATCAGTACTTGTGAACGGCTGTAATGATAATGTTATGATATGAATCCCTTAAATATTTTTAATTCGTAATTTTGATATAATAACAGTAGTTGTAGTATTTTCCGTTACTATTTTTAGATTATAAATACGATCGCTTCAATAATTGGAATATAAATTTTTTAATGAAACTATAATCTCGTCAGCGGGGACGATCAAATTAAATCTATGGATACGATCCACAGATTACCTCCTAATGTATACCGCATCATGGAATATTTGTTCTGTTTCGATTTCACCAAATTTCGGGCTGCGGGGGACGTGTCAAATACGCTGTGATTGGATAATTCAAGGTTGAACTTAGAATGCTCCGAACCATAGTGATGGGACAGGGTTGGGACGTTGATCGATAAATTTGGTATTTATTGATTATTGATAAATAAATGAATTGATCAATTTTTATTTGAAATTTATTAAAAATAAAAGTTATATAAATAAAGATTTTGTGTATATATATATATATATATATATATATATATATATATATATATATATATATATATATTGACATTTTTTACGCGAACAAATTGAATACAACTATATAATTATATGGATTTTATCGCGTTTAATTAATTTATGGTCACGGGGGGGGGGTTTAAATGTTTGATATCTCAATATCATAGTTATTGCGGCTATCTTCACTTTTTGAATATTGATTTTTGGTCCCGATCTACATAAAACTAGCTTACAGTATCTTGAAGTCTTGCAGTGGTATGCTTGGTTTTGGATAGATTTTGTTAATTATAGGATACCAAGCAGATGGCAGCACCCATCCACCGACTGTGGCCGGCTTCACTCGGTCGTTGTGACGTAGGCTTGGGACCAAAAGCTTGTTGTCTTGCAATACTTGATTGACATGCTGAAGCTCGGGAGCCAGATGTATTCTGTGACAGATGTGTTCTCTAAAACAAATATTTACCCACAGTAGCAAACTATGAAGAATGATGGTGAGATTCACCATTTAAATATCGGTTGGTATAGGCCTTTTTCCTATACATAGTATGACCAATAGTGTTATCAGGATTTCGGATGACTAAAACATCTAGGAAAGCTAAAGTATTATTTGCTTCTAACTCCATCGTGATTTGTATTTTGTAGCCTATGGAGTTAAGGTGGTCTAAAACTGCAGTTGCTTTGTCAGACGGTAAAATTTTGTAAGTGTCGTCTACGTACCGCTTGTGGAATCTTGGCTTTATAGGAGCAGTATGAAGGGTTTCTCCTCAAAATCCTACATGATATACGTCGGCGACTATAAGAAATACAGGTGAGCCCATCGCTACACCATCAATTTGCTTGTAGAATTCTGCCTTCTACAATAGATAGTCAGATGTGAAGCAGTGTTTGAGTAATACTACATATTCTGCAGGTATGTTGTTATCTTGTAGCTACCTAGTTACAATTGAGAAGCAGTCTTCAATAAGTAGGCATGTGAATAGTGAATGACCACCAAAATTGACCATAGTTTCATTGTCAGCGAGATGTCTTTTATCTACTAACAAAATGGTGTGAATCCTTTGTGTGTTTCTGTGTCCTTTCGGTGGTGATAGTATTTTGCTTAGTGTTGCACCTAAAAGTAGTATTATTAATTAAAAAACCATACGGTACGTGTTTCAAATTTAGATGTACTTAATAATAATATTTTTTTTACGTTACCTCCACACTAGGATTTTCTCCTGTATCGTGGGGGCAGTTTACAAACATAAATTTCACAAGAACAAACATCCAGACCCGGAACAGTTACTTGTAGGCCGTACAAATACTTGTTCCGTGCAGGATTCGAACCCGCGACCCCCAGCGCTGTAACTCATTGCTAAGCCACTACGCCACGGAGTCGTCAAATATTAATAATAATAGGATATTAATGAAGTTCATGCAACACTAGAATAACATTAATCACATTATAACTTTCACTTGTTTTATGGTTTATAAATCCGTTAATAATAGTTTAATTTCGACGTGTAACATTCAATTCACAGTAACAGTAAATTCATTAAATATTAGAATATCACGTTTCAATCAAACACTTAGTGCTATTACTTATTGTGTAATTTTCACCATTGGTATTATACTTTTTTTAAAAATGTAAAATTCCATACTATAACTGGCAAGTTTAGAGATAGTATAGCGGAATCCAACGGCCTTCTACGGTTTTTCATAATATGAAGATTGTCTTCTGTGAAGTGTCATGAGCATAGCACACTATTTTTGGTGGGCAACCATTGGTCCCCTCGACATGTAGCGTCGATCCACATCTTTTCCTTTCGGGACATTTAGGAAACCTATAACATATAGGTACCACAAATATACGCCACTATTTGTATAAAATAATGACTACAAAAGAAAAGTGAACGATGACCAAACAAATATCGACTTATAAATCACAACACTATCGATACACGTGCTGTTGCTAGACAAAGACAACTACTTTAATTTACGTAATGAGTGAAAGGGACGTATTAAAAAAGACATCAACTGGTGCTCAAATGATATCACTTTGTAACAATTAATATCCAGTGTAAGTTAAACTCCGGTGCATTTGAAATAGGTTAACGTGATAAGAATAAAATTTACTTACCGATGAAATATTATGCCATCTTTTTGATAACTGGATGTTTTAACTGACTTGCCACACCATTTAACAGCATAGGAAGCCATTTGTAATGTATTTTGGATACGAAAATTATTTTTGAATTTTCAAAAACTCGGAGGTGCCTACGGGTCACAGGTTTGGTAGACAACGATATCGTGATTCTTAGTGTCACTTCATATGCTAGCTACAGCAAGTAAGTGTGTTGCGCGCGTTTGTGGCCCTGTATGCGGAATCTATTAGGAGGTAATCTGTGATACGATATCAATAATTGAGTTTCCAAATAAATTTCATTAAAATTAAATTAAACTTCTTGATATAATAACAGTGGTCGAGATTAAGGGTCGGTTAGGAAACTTATCCTTAATCTCAACCACTCTTCCCGATTTTTTTTAAATGACCAGGTGTTGCTTGTGTTTACCTATAAACTGCTCAGTGTAATATACAAAAAAATAATAACTTATCAATTTAGATAAATAATTAATAAACTCATGTTGCCGTTCAACATGCTGAATGAAAATCATTGCGGAGTCAGGGGTAATAAAAATTACAGACAATAAATTTTTCGTGTATTATAACAAAAAACAAATAAATTAAATTTGCGTCAACATAGTAATCAGTTCCGTTTAATGTCTGTAATAGTGAGCTGGAGCGGGAGCGGCACAGACGGGAGTCTTGATGATAGCTGGAGCAGCGGTGGGGGCAGATTTGAGCACCACAGCGTTAAAGCCATTGTGGTCATCGGCAGAGTATTCCACAGTCCTGATCGAGCCGTCGGCCTCGTGGAACGAGTACGATCCCTTCACTACATCACCGTCTCGGGACTCTTGTTGGGACTTGTTGTCACCGGTGTGACCATCAGCGACAGAGTATGAGAGATCGTATTTTGGGTAGGCCTGCACAGAAATAAACAATCGTTATCTCGTCATCTATCCATCGTCAATTGTCGCAAAGCTAAGAAATAATTGATTACTGTGTTTCAGATTGAAAGGTAAATGAGTCGGTCTTAAGAATAGTCAAATAAGTGGACTTCTTTAAAATTTGTTGGCATGTGCCTATAAATTGCAGCAGCAAACTACCATCAAGTAGATTGCTTGTTAGTATATCATTTTAATATTATAAGAAACTTTAAACTTACATTTTCCTCTTCACGGTGGGTAAGAACTTTAGCGACAGATGGTGCATAGTGGACGGGGCTGGTGTGGTACGAAACAGGGGCAGGCGCAGCACGGTAGGTGACAGCAGATGGGGCGGAGTGGTATGTTGCGGGTACTTGTGCGGCGTGGTAAGTAACGGCAGCTGGGGTAGCGTTGTAGTAAGTGGCAGGCACGGTGTTGTAGTAAGAGGCGGGGGCGGCGACGGCTACCTTGGCCACAGGTGCAGGCGCTACATATTTCGTGGCAACTGCTCGTGTTTGATCATGACGCACGGTACTTTGAGAGGAGACAGCTGCAGGTGAGTAGTTCACAGCTGCAGGAAGAAGTCCGGCATTGGACACTGCAGCTACAGCGCATAAAATGGCTACCTAAAACCAAACATAGTTAAAGCAACAAAGATGCAAATACAGATAAAAAATAAATTAAAATAATCTACTTAAACGTACACAACGGAGCATATTTGGATTTGAATGGTTCTTTATGAGCCGCCAAATAACTAATGGTGATTACATTTTCGATTTTCTTCTATTATACTAGTCAAATACACTTACTAGTAACACGAATGGTAGTGGAACTTGTCAAAAACGCTCAACCTTATTAGTAGTATATTACGTTACCATTGACAAAAATGACTAAGGGGCATTTATGAACGCATACGATACACATGGTTACGTCAAATTTAAAGGTTGTGTTAGGGATCACTCATCTCATAACTATTTAGGATGCTAACCAACCATTTGTCTGTACTTATAATAATCTTTCATTTTAGTATAATATTGTAAAATAAAGATAATACAAAAAATTCTAAATTATAAAAGCAGTATTGGAATATTCCGTATTTTAGTTAAAATATATATTATTCGGAATGAATTAATTATAATACAAATTCAGAATATCGCGCAGATCTTGTTACGAATATTCGAAGATCCAATTGTGTCCACATCACTGAATTATTTAATCGCAAATTTTAAACGAGGCTAATACTCAGCAATGAGACGCTAAAAGGATTTTATACGTGATAGAGCCACGCTGCAGCAATGTTATGACTGTAGCACGAATGGGTCGGCTCGACCGGGGAAGGACCACGTTCTCACAGAATACCAGCGTAAAATAGTAGTTCAATGCTGCTGTGTTTCGTACAATGAGTGTAGAGATCCGGAGACGCTTTTTTACTGGAAACGAGGCATTCGTTTTTAGTCCTCAGAGGTGACAACGCATATGGGTTTTGATTCTTTATCGAGGATGTCTATAAACCGCAGCATCCACTTACCATTAGGTGGACTGCGTGTTCGTTTGTCACCCTTATTCTATATAAAAAAAACTTTTATCTAACGGTCTCCTCTTCATGGTGAGCGAGAATCTATAGCATGGTAATTTACAGGTGCTAGCACGGCATGATAACTACAGGGCCAAGGGCGACGCGGTAATCGGGAGTGGCCGCAGTCAGCTTAACCATAGGCAAACGAGCATGTGGAGCAATACAGGTTTGTTGCTGGCCTTTTATAAAAGAGTAATCTCCTTTCTTTAAGATGCCTATGACGTAATGGTCTGCAATATTCGGTGGTGGTAGTGAGTTCCACAATGAATTTGTACGAGAAAGAATACTTCTTTGAACTAAACTAAATTTACGGATTTTCTCGCGTTTAATTAACTTATTTTAAGGTTTTATTCAATGTATAGTGTCCGCGTAAATTTTAGAATTCACATCAAGAGTGCATGGATTATATCGCGAGTTTAGTCGCGACGTGCAATTGTATTAGTCGGAATTATTATATGAATAAATAAATCCCCTTAAACATTTTTATTTCGTAATTTTGATAAAATAAAAGTAGTTGTAGTATTTGCTGTTACTATTTTTAGATTGTCCATACGATCGCCTCAATAATTGGATTGTAAATTTTTAATGAAACTATAAACTCCTCGGTGGGGACGACCAAATTAATTCGTAAGAATCAACAATCAATTTCCCAATTAAAGTTCATTAAAATTAAGTTAAACTCTTTGATATAATTACAGTGGTCGAGATTAGGGGTAAGTTGGCACACTTATCCTTAATCTCAACCATTGTTCCCGAATTTTTCAAATGACCAGGTGATCCTTCAGTTTACCTATATACTGCTAAGTGTAAAATACAAAATAAATTTATTTTCAGTTTATATAAATAATTAATAAGCTTATGATGTCGTTCAACATGCTGAATGTAAGTCATTAGCGCAATATGGCAGAGAGTAATAAAAATTACACACATAATAAGTTATTCGTGTATTATAATAAACAACAAATAAATTAAATCGCGTTAACATAGTAGTCATATCCATTTAATGTTTGTAATAGTGAGCTGGAGCGGCGGCGGCATAGACGGGAGTCTTGATGACAGCTGGAGCAGCGGTGGGGGCAGAGTTGTGCACCACCGCGTTGAAGCCATTGTGATCATCGGCGGAGTATTCCACAGTCCTGATGGAGCCGTCAGCCTCGTGGAACGAGTACGATCCCTTCACTACATCACCGTCACGGGACTCTTGTTGGGACTTGTTATCACCGGTGTGACCGTCAGCAACAGAGTATGAGAAATCGTATTTCGGGTAGGCCTGCGCAGAAAAATATATTTTGGTTTTGTTATAAAGATGTATGATGATACATTTGCTTGAAGCTTTGCTTGAGGTTGAAAGTGAAGCTGTTTTCATAACAAACTCCTACCTATTTTAGCTAGGAGTGTATTCAGTACTGTGTTCCAGATAGAAGGACTAAAGAGTTGGTCCTCAATATTGATTTCGGTCATTTTTAAATTTGCTTGTCATTATCTATAACTTGCAGCAGCAAATTATCATCACGTGGACTGTTTGTTCGTTTAACATTTTATTTATTTCTTTAAATATTTACTATACCAACCATAATAGTTACAAAGGTGAGGGCTGGGAATGAATGCCAGTTAGCATTCTTTTTCTTTGTCAGTCAACCCATGGCTTTGTGTAAAATTAGTGACAGGTGACTTAAATAATTAAGTATACTATATATAAAGTAAACTAACTAAGTATAAAATAAAGGTAGCAAGCAGTGCTATTTGAAGTTTGACGAGTCTACGTTGTTTTTGCCGATAAAGCCGGTTAAATGGTGAGGAGTTTTAGTATTATAAGAAAATTTAAACTTACAATTTCCTCTTCACGGTGGGTAAGAACTTTAGCAACAGGCGCAGCGTAGTGGACAGGGCTGGTGTGGTATGCAACAGGGGCGGGCGCGGCATGGTAGGTGACGGCAGATGGGGCGGAGTGGTAAGTTGCGCGTGCTGGTGCGGCGTGGTAAGTAACGGCAGCTGGGGCGGCGTTATAATAAGTGGCAGGGGCAGCGTTGTAATAAGAGGTTGGAGCGGCGACTGCCAATTTGGCCACAGGTGCGGTGGCTACCGATTTCGTAGCAACTGTGTGTAGTTGATCATGGCGCACAATACTTTGAGAGGAAACAGCTTCAGCGGGGGAGTAGTGCACAGCTGCAGGAAGGAGTCCAGCATTGGACACTGCAGCTACAGCGCACAAAATGGCCACCTAAAAATAAAGAAAATACATAGCAACAAAATTTCATACAAACACAAACACATAAAAATGATTTACTATAAATATTATGGAAACTTACACTGCGGAACATTTTGGAAACTTAATGATTTGTTTTCAGTTAGTAAATTGTTAATGGTGACTACTTTATCGATTATCTTCTTTTATACTAGTCGCAATACATTTAAAAGTAACGCGACTAGTAGTAAAAGTCGTCAAACACGATTATCTTCTATTAGCCACAGGTCACTTAAGTTCATAAATCAATCCATTCACTAAAATTTATCTGCGGCATTTATGATAACATATGATACACATTTAAAATTTTGTGTTAGGGATAGATATATTGATAGTCTTTACAAAAAAGGGAGAAATCAAACAAAATTAAAACATTTGCAGCCATACTCATAAAATTTACCAAATAACTAACAAGTATTCAAGACAATAACTAATCATTAGTTTTTCTTTATGTATAAATATTACTAATTTTCAGGATATTTTAAATAGAATAAGGGTGATAAACAACCACACAGTCCACCTGATGATAAGTGGATGCTGTGGTCCACAGACATTAATCCTAGATTATCAATCAAAATGCAGAGCCTTGTTCTCTGGTTCTCTTAACACTTCGTACGAAACAATTATATCAACGGTAAACTGCTTTTTTATATTTGTATTCTGTGATAACTTGGTCCTTCGATGATCGAGCCGACCCATTCGTACTACAACCATAGTATTATAAATATTTATTATATTAATCAATTATTTATTATAAATATAAAATTTTCATTAAAAAATTTTCTTAATCAATTTATCTTTAGGATTACTCCCCTTTTTAGGATTTTTATATCAATTAATTATTATTAATTTTCTTATGATGAATAAATTATTTATTGTTGGATTTATTTTAATTATAATAAATTAATTATATTATTTTTTATATTCGAATTATATATTCATCAATTATATGTAATTATTTAAAAATGAAATGATTTCAAAGTTTTATAAAAAATATTTATTATCAATTATAAATATTTTAAGAATAATTTTTTTATTTAGTATAATTATTAGAAGTTTTATATTTATATAAAGGTTTTAAGTTATAATAATAAAGAATAATATATATATATATATATATATATATATATATATATAATCGAACAAAGCAGATTTATCTAATGAAGTATTGAATAATTTTGTAAAAATAACGTGTTAAGTATAATCTGAAGCGAAGCTTCTTGTATTTTATGTTGATATTAATCATATAATTCTGAATTCTTAAATGAACAAACTATTGTTCATAATGTTTCATAGTCAGTATTCAATTATACTAGCGATCCACCCCGGCGTCACACGGGTGATTTCTGGATAACAGCGCCACCTACTGGCTCCAATCGTGAATCCAAACCATTTAGGAACCAATTCAAACACATATAAAAAGAATATTCTGGCCAAGTTTTATACCTATAAGAGCTATAGATTGAAAATGTTAATTTAATTTTAATTAACGCCCCCACAACCCCCTCTTCCGGACGGACTCCTCTTATATATATATATAATAGATTTCCTCCTATATACTGACTCATCTATATAGGTTATTTATGTGTAATTATTTATTTGCAATAAGCTATTATAAATGTTCTTTTTAAGTCAGTAAGCTAGTAAGTAATTCTTGTCTCACATACTCGCCGTACGAAACACATGGCTGCTATCCTGTAAGACAGTGGTCCTTTCCTGGTCGAGACATCTCTTTCGTGCTATAACTATACCACTAATATAACTGCAGCATGGCTCTACCACTTAAAATCTATCCAAATTCAAACAAAATAAGCAAAAAATTCATCTTCGGTGTAAGAAATCCTCTTCTGCCTTTGAGTCTGTGTCCGTAGATCTCTCTTATCTATTTCTCATTCTCTTACCTATTTTTATTCCTAAATAGCAGTGCTAGCACCTATGTGTTTCGGTCTGAAGGGACCTCTGAACCTTACACGGAACTACAAATAGCGTGAAAAAAGAGGTTGTAAATTCTACAGTATTTTCCTTTTTTTATTATAATACGTGTGTGCAATGTCATTGAGATAAGTCGATCAAGTTACTGACTTTTTTATTCAAAATCTGTACTCGTACTTTCATATATTTTAACTAGATCAAAAGTGACCTGCAATCAGTCTTTATTTCTTATAGTCCAATTATTTGATTTCGAATTATAAATTCTTACAATTCAACAAAAATATATCATATGGATATAATTATATATATATACAGATATATCAACATATTGATTTCCTTTTAAATTTTTGCAACATTTTACGGGTTTCATATCATAAGCATAGTTTTGAAATATTAGCATCTGGTACGATTTTCCGGTAAATGTGGTTTATTGTGTGTTATGAAAACATCAAAATTTACTGAACAGGTTTCTTAATTTTTTTAGAGTGTAAAATGGAACAAATAAGAGTCCACGATGCTATTTCCTCACGCGTGTATTGTTTTATTTTAACATTCTGCGTTTTATTAACTTATTCGGTACTGCAAGTAGTTTAGTTCTTTCTTTTCCAGAGCACTCCAATAAGTGAGTTGAATCTGATTTATGTAAAAGTGCCTGAGAACGCGATGGATTTTTGTTAAAAAGTCTAGCCTTTCCATTAGGTGCGTGTATAATATTGTAAGCACGTGCTACATTTAGGTGAAGTCTATACGGTCTTGCGTGTAGCATTTGCGGTTGAATGAGCGGTGATTCCTTTTCAGATAGCACTTTTTCAGTTTTGAGTCTGGAAACAATTTCCGAATGAGTAATAAGCATAGTGGTATATATATATAAACAACAGAACCATAACTTACATATTTGCAGCATATATTTTGTTTGTTTGTGGAGAATTGTCTAACTGTTTATAATCGTCTATTTCAACACCATTACCATTTGATTTTGTTAATGTTTTTTCGGTCTCTTGTTCAAGTTTATCATATTGAAGATAGGGATCGATGAAATTATCCTGAAAAATTTTGGGATGACAATACTGATAATGAGAAAGTCATTATTGTTGACTTTTTGGATAATAGTGGTTAAACTTTTTAAAACTTGTTTATATTTTCATCTAAGTTAAAGTATATGAACTTCAAAAATTTCCAATAAAGTTTGAGTGATAATTAAAATAGTTAATAACAAGGGTTGACGCTGTTTACGTGTTGAAGTTTGTTTAAGTTAAATAGAAAATTGGCCGTAATGAAAAAGTGAAATAAACGTACCTGATTTTGGGAAACTTTTGTCGTATATTCATTATCACTTTTGTATAATACATTATATGCTTGATAAGAATTGATTGCTTGCGGTATTTTAATATTGTGTCCATACACAAACGATTCCTGTGTTTGCCCTTTAAGTTTATCATCATCTTCAAGATGTGGTTCTATATTATTCTTTTTTCTTTGATCTAATTCTAAATAAGTGTTGGCATAAGTATTAATATTGTATCCTATGGGAACAGTCACCTTAGTATTGAATTTGTTTCCTTCGTAAAATGTTTGTTCTTCAGGCTTTAAATCTAAAGGTGCATATTGTATGTTTCCATTCAAAGAATTTCCTTCTTGTTTTTTAGAAGACATCGATTCAAAACTCGGTTCAAATTTTGGGTTTGAAGTTGTATACGAATATACTGCATGAAATTTATGGGAAATCGGTTTATCTTCTCTATTATAGTTATGTGGAAAAAAATTATATTTCGAAGATGATTCGGTAACACAGATTGCCAAATAAAAAATCACTAAAATAATCTGTAAATATAACAGAGGATATATAATAATTGTGAATGCTTAATTTGACATGTGAACGTATAAATTGTATATATATATAATTCACGCAGTCACACAGGTCTTAAATACTTACATCTTTAATCATGTTGTTTTTCTATTTCATTAAAACAGAATAATTGTTCAAACGTAGTATCCTGGATTGTATTCTTTATTATACGGTGGTGAAAAAAAAAATGAAAATTATATCACAAATACTTTTAACTGAACACAGTTAAGATCTGTTCGACTCCGATGCGCGTCCTACATTAAGATCGATGGGCCGGACCTTTCACTGGCTTTTATGAGACAACGAATGTGTATCATGATGATTCATTGAGATCCATGATTGAGTTCTTATTCGAAGTATGATATCAACTATTATTTCATTCGAATCTATTGTTTGCGACTGTTATTGAGAAATTCTTGCGTCACTTGCCTGTTACAAAAGATTTTGTTGAATAACGCAGTATCAATTAATCACATTATTATTGCATTACATACTTGTACAATGCCACTATATCGTTGGAATTCCAAAAATATTTTTTTTGATAAATACATCCATATATTTTTTTAACTATGATAGGTCTCATTAAGTTTCCTATACTTTAAATGTTCTTAAGCAACAAAGGAATTTTCATTTATATATTATTTATGCTTTGACGTTGTAACGAGTATAACTTTGTAGTCAAATGTTTTAAATAACACTAACTACTTTTATGAATTTCACAGCATTTCATCTTGATTATATAATATACTTATAAATCTCGACGTAATAGTTTTTTGTATATATATGAATTGGGGTATCAATTTTTTATGCGAAATTTTATGAAAAAATTTAAGATACAAAATATTTATAATTCCTCGTAATATAAGTGGGTTGATTTTAAATAATTTGGGGGAATAAACTTTATATTATTATCATAAAGAGTGAACAAATTCTAAAACGATAAATATTCCATTATCGACTATTCGCTCGAGAGACATTTCGAGAAAATTATTATAAATACTTCTAACTGGTAAATTACTAACGATAACTAAATACGCGCATTCGATTATGGACAGAAAATATGCAAGCATAAAATGCAATTCAATTTAGACCTATAATTTAATTTTTCACGTTGTACTTAAATGTTTATAGCGGGATTATTATTTTTAATCAGAATAATGCAATAAGATCATTTTAACTTTTTTGTTGCGAAAAGTAATCTATTTTAAATAGGCAGTTATTTTAGATAAGTTGTTGACATCCCGTTTTTGATTTCGTTGGGAGGCCACTGCCTCCGGCTTTTAATTTCAACCGGTTTAAAAACCGGTTGAAATTAAAAGAGAACAGCGTAATTTCGGAAAATAAAATTACTGCCACTGTAATTTGACATTTTTAATATTATTAAAAATTATTAAAAAGCAAAAAAAAATACTTTGCAAAAATAGCCTTTAAAAACACTGATGAACGTAGGCTTTCCACAAAAATTGCCTCTTAACTACGCTTGGCGGAGAGGTTGGCAAACAAAGTTTCCTATTTTTTAGTTACTTTAAGGAAGACTAGACTATAAGGAAACGGCTGCTGCCCATCCCTGGTTTGTTTCCAACTTTCGCCTCTTATGGCACCCACAGGATGGTATAGGGCAGTAGATGTTTTTATACCGCCTCTACAGGGTAGTTATCATCAAAAAGATGAAATATATCGTAATGATTTCTTATATTTACGCGAACACTATACATGATTAAAACTACTTTTGCGGATTTTATCGCGTTTATTTTTACTTTTTATTTACTTTTATTTTTAATTCCCGACGTTTCGGGCGCTTTCCAGCACCCATGGTCACGGGGGACTGAGATGACTGACGTCCTGATGTCATTGTTAAACCCGGAGTACCTTCAGCTTTTTTAATTATTGTTTATGGTCCGATCTATGCAAAATGAACTGACTATGTCCTGAGGTCTTGCAGTGGTATGCTTGGGTTTAGTTTTAATTTTATTGATTATAGGATCCCAAGCAGATGGTAGTACCCAGCCTCCTTCTCTATTGAAATTAGGATGATTTCAATAGAGAAGGAGGCTGGGTACTACCACCTGCTTGGGATCCTACAATCAATAAAATTATCACTCATCTCAGTCCCCCGTGACCATGGGTGCTGGAAAGCGCCCGAAACTTCGGGAATTAAAAATATATCGTAATTTTTTTTTTATCTTCTTCTATTTCATCAGACCGAAAAGTTACATAAAATATTACTTAATCACGTAAAATTTAAATAAATAAATTATGAATGCAAGTTTCACACGCAATGTATTAAAAATTTTCTACTGTAAAGTCGTACCGTTACCGTGACCATTATATCTTATTAAAGTCCACTGCTGAACATAGGCCTCCCTATAGATTGCCTCATTGGGGATATAGTTTTCACAATTAGCTAGTGAATTCGCAATGCAGTTTATTTGTAGTTGTTATATTTAGGAAGACGCTGTTGCCCTTTTGTTTCCCTTTGTCGCCTCTTACGACACCCACGGGGTAATATGGGGCAGTGGATATTATTATACCACCACTATACGGTAAACAGTAGTTTAAATGTATATAAAAATATAAGATTTTATAAATCTGTTATCTTATATTTTTTATATACCGCGAGGTCCTATGTCTTGTACCGCACGCTTAATTCATCGGCACGAATACATGTTATGCAAAGAATAACGTAACGCCAACGTAAACCGGTCAAATATGCTGCTTGTTATCCCTGACCTTAAAACTAGGTCATTATTCGGTGCAATGCTTGCGATAAAACGATTTATTAATATTAATTAGAGCAATTTAACTGTTGTAAAATTTATTTTGTTGTAAAATTTAACTTGTTTGACGACTGCGTGTTTTCGTTCAGTACGACAGCCATGGATCCAGGACTCGGATTCCAGTCTGAAAAGGTATACAGATAAAATACAAATGATAAGTTCTGATATAATTATCTCCATGTTCCAGACAGTATACGAGTATCTCAACCTCTTAGCCCAATATCATTACGGGTAACCGGGCTCATAGGTTACGTACTTTCCTATTTATCATAATAGCTCGTAATAGTATATAGTTGTACATAGGCCACTAGTAGGAAAGCTTTGTCTCGATTGTCATGTTCAGTAGGCGGTTTTGCGATCGCAGTTTCATACCTTTTTACATCTAGCGTGTCCTGAAGATGCTGCCAGAGGATACACATCATTTATTCTCCAATATTCACGAATTTAAAAGTTAAAGGAAAATGTGATGAATATCATTTGTTTATATTATCATGTGAAGCAATCCCAATCATTCTAAACCCAATCAGCTAATTGTTAAAAGTTTCGTTGAAACATGACTCCAATATTTAAAAAAGGTTAGGATTGTATAATTAATAACAAAAAATGATTTATATAGCGTCAATGACCGGCGGATGATTCATTTCAACATAATATTACACTATAACTCGTTTTCATCTCGGCGGAATTCGTTAACTAATAAAGGGCTAGTTTTTTTTTTGTATCTTTTGTTAGTTTAATGAAAATTCATTCATTTACTAAATTGGTGTCGTATGGCAAATCTTATTCCAAATATTAATACGAATACGAATACGACTGTTCTAATAATAATTTAAATTTATACGTTTAATTTTTACGAGCTAATTCATGATCAAAATGGAATTCCAAAAATGGATTTGCATCGGAAAAATTTTCAAGCGATAATGCTTTACGATTTCAAATGCCTCCGAAATGCAGACGAAGCGTTTGATAGACTTCATTTGAGAAATGAATAAAGAAGAGTGGTCGCCCCTTGACAGCTTTCACAGAGGGAATCATGCTAACAGTAACAATTTTAATTGAAGAAAATAGGTATATATCTAGAGTCCGGAGTGTGGTGCCACTCACGCTGAAATCGCAGTTGCATTCTACAGCCTGCCGCCGTGTTTAGCACTATAGGTCAGCCGATTGGGATGGGATGCGGTCTTTCTTTGCATTCTACCCTTGGGGGCGTGTTTGCTTCTCGCCGGACGATCCCAACATTGTTGCGGATTCTGTCGCTGATGTGGTACTTCAGGGTAAGGACCTTTTTATTCCTTCATCTGTGGTGCCCATTGGAGGCAAATCTCAGCCATAGTTTGGTCGCTCCTGTAAAATAGCATCATGCCATAAGCAGGAGCGCAACCAAGCCTTGGCTGACGCATCAACGTCCCGGTATGTAAACACCAGCGCTCTAAAAAGAAAGTATAATTCCGCCTCTAGGTCCTTCAAAAGAGTCATTGCCAAAGCAAAGTCAGAGCACATAGGCAGAATTGGCGAGAAACTAGTTCGCCTTCCTTCTGGAACCCGTGCATTCTGATTTCTCGCAAAGGTTTCTCTCTCTTCCATCTCTGCAAAAGGAGGACGCCTCACTGGCCCATATCGCAAAGGAGAAAGCCGATCTGCTAGGCTCTTTCTTTGCGTCCCACTCGACTCTCGATGACGGAGTTAGTACGCCGCCGACAATCCCGCGGTGTGAGTGCTCTATGCCGGAAGTGCAGTTCACACAGCGTTCGGTTCGCAAAGCACTCCTCTCCCTGGACATCCACAAGTTGAGTGGGCCTGGCAGAATCCCGCCAATTGTGCTGAGGTCCTGTGCTCCAGAGTTGGCACCGGTTTTAACGCGTCTTTTCTGGTACTCCTACTCCCTATGCGTAGTCCTAAAATCATGGAAGACGGCTTTCGTTCACCCGATCCCTAAAAAAGGCGACCGCTCAGACCCGTCCAACTACTGGCCTATCGCCATCACCTCCTTGTTCTTCAAAACAATGGAGTCCATTGTCAACTGCCAGCTC